TAACACAAAGTTGTCAGAAAAATTATGCAGATCGAAGGCGAAGAGATCTAGAGTTCGAAGTTAGTGAGCATGTCTTTTTAAAAGTGTCGCCAACCAAGGGAGTTATGAGGTTTAGTTAAAGGGGGAAGTTAGCCCCAAGATTCATTGACCCATTTGAGATCTTACAAAAGGTCGGGCCTGTGGCGTACAGATTGGTATTGCTCCCGGCTTTAGCTAGTATCCATGATGTATTCCATGTATCTATGCTTCGAAGATATATTAGGGATCCATCACATGTCATATCGTACCAACCTCTACAACTAAGAGCAAGGTTCGCCGTACCGTACCGTACCGGCGTTTCGACTCATGCTCGGTACGGTACGGTACGGGTGTACCGACCGGTATACCGAGGTGTACCGAGCACTGTAGCACTGCTACAGTGCGCTACAGTGTTACTGTAGCACTGCTACAGTGCGGACCGGTACAGGGCGGTCCGCGTACCGACAACTTGTCGGACCGGTACGTACCGCCCGTACCGGGCGGTACGGCTCGGTACGGCAAACCCTGACTAAGAGATGATATTACTTTTGGAGAACAACGAACCTAGAGCTTGGAAAGGAAAGAACATGTTCTAAAGAATAAAATTATACCTTTGGTAAAGATTTGTTGGCAACACCATTTAGACCAAGAGGCAACGTGGGAAAGAGAAGAAGATATACAAGAGTAGTATCCTCATCTATTCTATTAAAGTAAGCTAAATTTGGGGACCAAATTTCCTATAGGAGGGGAGAAATATAATCAAATCAAATAATTAAGTTAGGAATTAATTTTTTTCCTTACTTGCCATTGTAATTTAGGAAATCTTAATCTATTTCCTTGTTTGTTAATACGAATTAGGAAATAATTATTAAGTATTCGAAATAGGGTGATATCATATTTGTTAGTATATTAAATAGAAATAATTTATATTAAATAAATACGAAAATAAAAATTAATTTCTTTTAATGGAGGCTCACCTCCTCCTATTTAAGGGGAGGGATTTTTCTCCTTCGTTCCTCACCTAGCGAAGCCTAGTAGCGAGAGGAACGAGGAGTTACACCCTGTTGATGAGAGGTAGGTTTTCCTATCTTTTTGAAAATAAAAATTTTAATTTTTATTTTGATTTTTTAAATATTGAATGTTGTGTAGTTTAAAAAATATTTATCAATTCTTTAAATGTCTAAATTTTTATTATTGCATTAAAGTCTATCAACTAAAGTTTTTATAATGTTCTTTGACCTTTGCTTATGGTTTTTTTTTAGATTTAAACACGTTAAAAATTTACATGTTTCATGTAGTAAATATATGATATTTCTTGGCATTACAACTTACCTTTAACCTTATTTGGATCAAGATTTTTGTTAAATTAAAATATGTTATCTAAAATTTTTGATATTCTTTGATCTGAAAATTAAAATGTACTATTCTGAATGATTTAAAAATTATTTGACTAGAATATTTTGAAATTATACATGTGTTGAAAGTATGATTTTTATTTGAATTTAGAAGGTTATTTCCTTGTATTAAAGCTTATCTTATAATCTATCTTTTAATGTGTTATTATGTTTTTTTATTTATATAATTGTTAGTGAATATATGTTGTTGTATGAAATTAGATATGAATTGGATTGAAATTGCTCACAGACCAGGCCCAACCCATAGGTTAGGCTACAACCCACTGGCCAGGCCCAGCCCGTAAACCAAGCCCAACCCATGGGTCAGGCCTTGGCCCGTAGGCTAACCTAGCCCAACCATCATAGGCGGTCACATGCGATGCACATAACCAGTCCATGGGCCAGGGCTGGGCCAGCCTTGTGTGATGCTTGCCTAGTCATGTGTAATGCACATGGCCAATAGATGGGCTCGCTTAATATTGTTATTGGATTTGAGCCCAAGATTGAACTAAACTAGGATTGATGAGTCTAGATCGATTCAGGGTGATTTCGAATCGATTGACTTATTCAAGTTAGTTTAACCTAAATTGAACTTAATCTAGTCCAAATTATACTAGTCTAGGGTGGTTCCAAACCTGTTAAATGAGGATTAGAGATCGGTTCAGTTAGGTTCTAGTAAATTGAGTTCAATTTGATCGATTGAACTAGGGTTCCAGTCAATTGAGGGCTAATTTGTATTATTTGATATTGATGATATTTGAAAGAGATGTTTTAAATGTGTTATTTCATCCCGATATGGACATGACCAGTGTGAGATTATGTTATTTCCCTGCCGAGAGCAGGTAGGGTGATTCCCTTCGGGGATTAGCGGGCCGTCAGACGTAGCGGCTGGACGGTTCCTCCATCCGCTATTCGGAGGAACGTGTCCCCACTTTGGCGGGTGAGGAATTCCACTCCATCTGTTGTTGGGAGTGCGATATGAGTTTGCATTTATCCGTTGTTGGTAGAACACAAACTTATCCCGTATGATAAAGCCTCTTCATCCGCTGTAGGGGGAGTGCTCCTTCGGGTATTTGATATACGCAAATGGGATGATTGAAGTTTGATCATGTATTTATTTGAATTGACTTTTTGGATTCGTACTCAGTGTTGCTGAGTTTTCTTTGTTTTTTATTTTCAGAGCAACCTCCCTCTAGTACTAAATCGGATTCCAGTGGAGAGCGAACCTTCCTCTACCGTTAGGTAAAGCCATTTGGATGATTCTTGAAGTTAACATCACTATGTTTATTTTTTTACTTGTAATTTAATGAATAAATAAATTATAATAAATGTTTATAAATGATAAATAAAGTGATGTTTATCTACTTGGCTATAAATGTATGAAAAGATATGAAAAAAAAAAAAATTCAAGATGTGACAGTAGGCCAGTCCATAACCCATGGATTGGTCATATACATTGCACATGAATGCCCATGTTGGGCTGGGCTGAACTAATCTATGGGCAGGGGCCTATCCTTTGGGTTGGGCTTACTCTACAGGTTGTGGCTTGGCCAATGGACTGATTTTAGTCCAAATACTAACCAATCCTCTTAATTTTGAATTATAACATCATGAAATTATAATAAAAAATCTACTTAATAACATTGAGTCATTACAACAAAATAAATAACAGTAGATTAAAAACGAAATTACATAAGGGAGAAATAATATTTTTAATCAACTACTATATAAATATAATAGAAATCAAATATTACAACTAATAAATTATTATATAAATATAATAGTAATCAAATATTACAACTAATATCATGCATACAAGATAAAAATTTTAGAAACTGCATATAGCATAAATAATTACAATATGTTTTAATCTAAAAATAAAATTTTAAACACTTAAAGGAATAGAAGAAAATTTTAGAAACTGCATATAGTATGAATAATTACATGCTTTAATTCAAAAATAAAATTTTAAACACCTTGAAGGAATAAAAAAAAATTATTTTTTAATAAAAGCAGGACAGTCTACCTCTCCTTCGTAGAATACAACTCCTCTTTCTTTTGCTGCGAGACTTAGTTTGGTAAGGAATGAAGTAGAAGACTCCCTCCCCTTAAATAGGAAAAGAGGAGCACTCCACATAAGGTAATATTTTTTATTTTATATTTATTTAATTATTATTTTTAATTTACTGACAAAAATAACATCATCCAACTTGGAATGTTAAATATTTATTTTTAAATTTTATTAACAAGAAAGGAAATAAAATAATTATGCTTAAACTGGATGATTTGATTATAACAGTCATGTTCCAACTAACTGGATTCTGTCCAAAATTGACAACTTGATGTCTTAAAACCATGCTAACACCTAAGCAATTTATATTAACAATCATGAACAAATAGCTGGAATAGCTGATGAGAAGAAACTGCTTGGAGCAGTTGCAGTTGGTAATATGTTCTAAGCGGAACAAGTCAGTCACATAATTGCAAATAAAAACAACTAGTATCTGAGGTTGGAGACATGACTCCTTTCCAATATTTGAGTTTTGTAGTTTAAAGTATGTCTAGTTAAACCAGAATATTCAAATATATTTTTATTGTTTCCAATAAATCTTCCTAGATCTCCTTCTTACTCTCTCACACCACTAATACAAAAAAACTCACCTTGTCTAACCCAAGCATTGACAGGTCTCTTAATGGGGGTTATCAAAGTCAAATAAGAAAACAATAAATGCATCCTTAGTTCAGCTTTTATAGTTATGAGGTGCATGCATTACGACAATCTGAGTACATAATCAACCAGATCCATGAGATTGTCATAATGAAAGGTATAGCATAACGAAAGAAGCGTTCCCAAAGTTATGAACGATGGAATGAAGTAACTGCACGGGGAAGAAAAAATCTGTTTGTAAAGGAGAAGATATACCTGAAGCAATACAAGCAGATACAATAAATTCTAAGCAGCACCTAGTCTTACAGCTAGCATTTTTGTTCATTCATTGTAGTAAATGATTCTCCCAGGAAAAAAGCACAACATATTCATGTTGCAACAAGACGTACATTCAATCTTGCTTTCCATTTGGTCCATCTGTTTGGTTGATCACCCAAAAGCTCCCACATAGGTGCTATGATAGTAGCATCAACCTGGCATATAGCGCCATAAATTTAAGACAGTTTCGAGGAATCTTAGGATGCAGATCTCCTATCCACTTTGACCAGCCAACAAGCTCAAAGTCATATGAGACGCTCAGGGTTTAACAATTCCACATTCACACAGTCCACCATTTTCATTTCTGAGAGTGATCACATTGTACCCACATCGGCCCGACTCGCAGATCATCGACCACCCCAACAATCCTCTCCAATTCTCGACATCACCCCCGACAATTACCTCACAAACTCCATAATTCGAGACCTCGTATATGTCATCACACTTGTCTATGCAATACCGCAAGTTCCATCAGGTAATAGAGATGAAAAGGCCGGTTACCCAAAATTTAAAGCAAGATATGCAACAAGAACTCATTGGAACTAAAGATGACAATCAGAAGATTCAAGAGAAGAATTGAGATCGATGGATGAAAGACTTACCTCGTGCGTGGAGAATGCGCCTAAAAGGAACCAAAGAAAGGGATCCGACGACGGAGAGCGGAAGACCTACCGATTCATTTGGGAGCCCGCTGCTTGCAATACGGGTAGGGGGTCAACAGTGGGCCTCGGGAGCCCGTTTCGTGTTCTACTACTACAGAGCCCGTCAACTACGCCCGGAAGCCGCGCTCTGTTGCAATGTGATCCGATCTACGTTGCTCGGGCTAACCTATTCGTCGGTAACTTTACATGCTCGTCAACTTAAATTGGACTAATAGTCTTCAATACTTTGATGTCCTGCTCGAAGACCGCAAAAAAGATTCATCTATTATTTATAAAAAGATGAGGAATACATAACTATTTATAAGGCTTCTAAACCCTAACTCCTAATATGACTCGTACTCAAGACTCCTACTTCTAACAAACTCCTAATAGGACTCATACTCAAGACTCCTATTCCTTTACAACTCCTTATTCTTCTCTAAGAAATAACCTCCTAACTTTAGCCGGCCTCTTCACCTTTTTAATAGGGATCGGCTTTCTACAAATAAAATAAATATATATCATTTGGTATAACAATTGAAATATAATTTTTGTCCCAATAATGAGAGGTAGGTGTAGTGATGTTTGATATCCTTATAATAAAAATTCATTGTATGACTTGTGCAGTAGAAACTATGTTTAAAATATCATTATAAAGGTTTCTTATACTCTTTAAGAGTTTGTTTTATGGAGACGGATGAGTTGCAAGATATCAGCGCAGTTAGAATATTCTTAATATCAAGATTTATTGAAGTATGGTGGATAACATAACCGGCTACAATAGAGAATTATGAATTAAATTATCAATTTCTATTGTAGAAGTATTAGTAGTGAATGAATTATAACATTCTATGATAAAATCATGGAGGAACAATTGTACTAGTATTTGATATAAGGATATTGAAGTACTTTAAGAGCATCCAAATAGATGTTAAGAAATAGCATGTATAATGGGGGAAGAGTTTTTATCAAATAGTCATATGACATTTGACCAATCATCAAGATATTTGAAAAATATACAAAAAAAAAGTCAATTAAAGAAGGTTAAAACTTCAAACCAATACTAGTGGTAACAATGTGTATGGTATTATAAAATTAATATAAAGTCGAAAATCAATTCTAGGAAGAATTATATAGACTTTTAGATATAACAAGGGTGTGGGATCCAAATCCAACAAATAAGTTAAATAGAGGATAAGTTTAAATAAGTCTATCGAGAAAAAAAAATTAAGGGTCTGTAGATTCCAAACATGATTATAAATAAGATAAAAAAAAGTTAAAATTAGAATATAGATTAAAATTTATGAAGGTTGATCGTTAGTCGAGTAAAATATTAACCTTGTTAAAAGTTATATTTTGACCACGAAGGCCTTATCTTGTACAGTAGAGAGAGAGAGAAAAAAGATTTTCAATTGATAGATGAATTAGAAAATTTTATTTTACAAGTGTGGGTTACCATATTTTGTAATAACAATAGAGCATACAAGTTATTGATCTTTATTAAGAATGTGAATAATTCAACCGGCACAAATAGAGAGTTTGAGTAAATAGATATCACAATTTAACATTTTTGGGAGATGCGATGATATTCCAATTTACTAATCTTGGTATGTAAAGATTTTATAAGAAAAGAACCTATTAGAGAGATGAGTTGAGTGATTTGGTCTATAGTTTTGTTAGAAATTACTTTTGTAGTAGTTATAGCTAAGGAATAAATAAGAATGAAAATAATAACTGAATTAATAAGGGTAGTTTTGCTTGAGAAATTATGTTTTTCGCCCACTATCAATTCTATTGAGTACTTTATCTATTAATTTGTCTTGAAAAATCTTGGGAAGACAACTACGTGAGATAAATATTCCAATGCAAGGAAGGGGTCAAGAATAATAATGTTAAGAATATTTTTTATTTTATATATTTAATATAAGGAGAATAATGTTTTGGGAAGTAAATGAATGATTTTGAAACGTTTATTTTTGACCTAATAAGATTGGAGTAATTGTTCAAAATTTGCATAAGAAAATGACAGGATTTATCACATATAGCTATCTATCTTATGTGATATTTTGGCATCTTTGGTATTAAAAGGAATAAGTTTATTACGCATAATTACATTATTAAGAAGTTTTGAAAGGATGTGTTGAATTATAACAAAAGGATGAGAGGTTCCTCTAGAATAGTTAAAAGATTAACAAGTAAAAACCATTAATGAAGCATAAGTATAAAGGTGAAGCCATGACTCATTTGATTAACTGATTAGGAAAATGCATTCCATTGAGTGTCTCAATTACTATAGAGGGTGTTTGAAAATCAATTCTACTAAGGATTAGAAGTCTCGACTATAGATTTATACATAGTGCACTTACTAATAACTATATTGTCTTATGACAAGAAATACAAATGTATTGTTCTTAGCTAATCAAGTGATTAAAAAGAGGTTTAATACGATTGATCAAAATTTTTACTAAGTTGTAGAAAGTTGAAGGACAAAAAAAGAGTGAAAAAATTCAATAGTAAATCTATCTGCCCACGAGATTTACCGTATGCCAGATAATTTCTTTTTTCTAAGTAAAAAAACACTTATGAGTATTTAGTGACACTTAGAATCTCTATTACCTTCACCAACAGCAGTTAATTACATATTATCCTCTATAATTAGTTATCTTTAGTATTTTGATCCATAAACTTTAAAAAGTTACATTAATATTTTTATAATTAGAATAATTACGAAGGTGAAACATCTAGATCTATGATATCAATTTTATGAATAGAAATATAAAAATAAAGATCAAAAAGATAATTTTAATATCCCAGTTGGTGGTGGTGGACGACGATGTTACTGGAGACCATGGGTGGCTATTGTGGATGAGGAAAGCAGTGGAGAGAGAGGTGAAGGCCACTCTACATCTATGTTAACACCGATGTAGTTGTCGAGTGGCTTTTCGTCGCTCTACATCTGCGTCGGGGCTTCGTCGCTGTAGAATTAAAATCCATTGTCGAAACCATCATGGACATCTGTTATCTGTCGAAATAGGACCTAAAGATGTGCGCCCCTCTTATCGACGCTAACACCATGTACCTCTTTGTCGCCTACCTCCTTTACCACCACCACCACCACCACCACTTGTTCGCGACCAAGGCCTAGGAGAATGCTATCGTTGCCCTCCTCAACCTCTCCATCTCTATCTACAAGGCGCTCATGTGCACCATGAGCATTCTTGATGCCCTTATCGTCGTCTAGCACATTGTCACAACCCTTTACAACCTCCTCTCTGTCGAAGCATATCGCTCAATTATCGAATAAAAGAAGCCCCTCATTATTGCCCTCATGGACCTCCTTTGTGCCCTTGGTGTGCCAACTAGGTCTATTAAGAATGCACTTAAGGCCCTCGACCCGCTCAATCGTGCTAATTAGGTCGAGCTTGTTGAATCTCGGATTTTGATGATAAAATCAATTGATAGTGTTTATGATCTGATCTGCATTTTGAGTAATGCAGAAAGCTTCGATCAGGAAAGATAATTAAAGTAGGAAAATCATGTTGGACCAGAGTGGAACATGTTAGAAGATTGGACATCGAACCAGAGGATCGATTGACATATCGACAAAAGGCCTCGGGCTATGGGTTCGGGCATCGGGCCAAGAAGAGTGGAAATTATGCTAAGAAAATCAGAGTTATTGAGGTCAATTGACCGATTGGGAAATAGGCTGCAAGAGAAAATGATGCACCGAAGAATCGGATGAGGCGTCGATGAACTAATGACATATCGGACAATATTTGATTTAGCTTTGTAATAATTGTCTATATTGAAGTAGGTTTTAGGCGTAATTAGGTTGGAATTGGGCCAACTCAATTAGAGGACAATTGGGCCCAAGTTTGGACCGTGTTAGGCTAAGTGAAAAGGCCTAAACAATGACCCAACAGGTGGAATCTCAGTGGCATAGTCTCCGAGATTGTGTCAGGTGGTGGTTCCACCCAAACTCAATTTTTGAGACTGTCAGGCAATGGTACTGCTCAGACATAGTCTCCCAGGCAGTGGTACCACCCAGTGTCAGTGCTACAAGCGGTGGTACCACCCAGCATAGGTGATGGTACCAAAGGACCCAGAAAACCCGGGATGAGACCTTTTTTAGCTCTAATTTTGAAGTCGTTTGGGGTCTATAAATACCCCAACTATTCCTGCATGGAGTAGTAAGAATTGAGCATAAAATTGAATTGAAAAAGGGGGAAAAATACTTGAGAAAAAATTAGGAAACTCTCTTAGGATTTAGGATCACTTCTTCCTAGTATTTAGAAGTTTGTCTAAAGGGAGAAGTGAGGTCTAAGAAAGAGAGGCTTGTAAGGGTTGTCTCATAAACTTACAAAAAGGAGAAAGAGTGTAAAAGAGTAATCGATCTTCACCCATTGAAAGAAGATCATTAGTGGATGTCGGTGGCCTCGATGGAAGAGGAATCGGGAGTGAATGTAGGTCATAACGATCAAATCACTATAAAACTCGGTTTGCATTTACTTCTTGCAATTTATCTTTACTACAAACTGTCTTACTTGCTTTACTTTCTCATTATACTCTTATGAATGCTTTTAAGTTAAATATATTTTCGATATGAACTTTTATCGAACGAAATATTTTCAAACTGATGTCGTTTTTAACCGCTACACTAATTCACCCCACCCTCTTAGTGCCAACTCGATCCTAACAATTGGTATCAGAGTTACGTTTTTCTCGTTTGGTTTAACATCCAAGAGAAATGACTCTTTTCGACTTTCAAGAGGGTCACTCT